GGGGGGGGGGGGGGGGTTGAACCAGGTGCGGTTTGGGGTCCTTGGCGGCGGGACTATCGTCATTTTCGGCGTTGCCAATGGTGTAAGCACCGGCGAAAGGGAGTGTGTTCGATTTGGAGGATGCCCCAAGATGTTTTTCGTTGGAGCGAAAATGAATTATTTGGCACTATTGGTGCGCCAACCTGCCCAAATATTTTGTCATAAAAAAAAATTCTCAACAAGTATAATCCACTGTTGGAACATGGATATTGGCGCCAAAGTCAATCTAGTGCGTCCCCAGTACCCTTCCCCTAGTATAATAGTTCACATGCCACTGCTTTTGCTGCTCGTGTTTCCGCAGCCTAACCTGTGGAAAGACTGGTACGCACTGATCTCATAATTGAAATACGGGTGGTTGCTGCTCTTTGTAGCCTGAATCCATGGAAGTGAGAACTGAAGAAAAAAACACGTCGCTCCAATGAATCAGATCGGGCTTGCACGTGGTATCGGCGGAAGTCTGGTTCCCGCCGACAAAGGTCTCTCGAGCATCAGCAAGGACCTGCCTTGGGCCGTTCAGCTCTGCTTCTCGGTGGCGACCTTTTACCACATCGTCGCCAACGACACGTACATCCTCGGAGGGTGAGTGTTTTGTTGATCTCTGGTGTGTTTTCTGTGCGTGTTTCTTCACAAAGAGTGTTTTGGTGCTCATGTGTGTTTTGTTTGTCTCGTGTTTCTTCACAAAGAGCATATTCGAACAGCTGACCAATGAAAAGACGTCAGTAAGTTGCCTGGGCGCAAAGGTCTTCAACTCTGTCTCAACCCCTCAAGGGGTTAGTTTGCGAAATGTCAAAGTGTGTGTCTGACTCAAACCCGATGGATCTTTAGGCTTTATCCGGCTTTGCTTGGGATGTTGTCATGAGATTGACGGATAACAACGAAACTACTTATTGCGTGCGTCCACATGGTTTGCGGAGAGCAATCTTCTACAAGCGTTCAGCCATAGCGCCCAAAAAAAGGATCCACCAAGGAGGCGTGTTTACTTTCACCGACGAACATGAATCGAACTGTTAATTACGTACGTCCAGGATGGTTCGCGGTGCCCTCGGCCTGGAGAACGCGACCCGAGAAGATATCCGCCTGATCGCGGTGACCTTCGGCGTTGTCGTGACCGTGATCCAGACGTACTACGCTCCCAAGTTCAACCCCTTCACGCCGGCACACCAGGCTAGTATGCTTGCCCTTGTCCTGCCCGCCTAACATGCCTTTGTGTCCTCCTTAGCCCCACCCCTAGCCTCACCGGTTAGTTTTACTCGTGACGTAACGTGAGGATCGTGCTCACTTGTGTGGAGCCTTCGTGAAGACCACCCAGCTAGGTGCCGTTGTCCGTGGCGTCTCGTCTTTTGGTCGAGCGTGTGCGCGTGCTTGACCAGTCTGGGGATGAATTTCATCTTCGGCCATGTTGTTGTATTCTCCAGGCTCTCTACGCCGTAACTGGCATGCCCAAGACGGCCATCACGATCGAGGTGCCCCGGAGCACTCCCTCCACTGACGCTGACAAGGCTAAGGACAACGGTGGCAACGGCGCCGAGGAGACCAAGGGCAAGGAAAAGAAGGAGGGGGAGGGGGAGGGGCTGTACGACCTCAAGACCCGCAAGAAAATCCAGTCATTTCTCGAAGTACGTACTGTACAACGTATCGGTCGGTGTGGGGCTCACAGAGAGAAGAGAGGGTTTTGAGGAGATCGGATGAGGGGCGCATTGCTGTTGTGTGAAGCGGGGGAGAGACTGAGGGACACGAACGTAGCATATGCTGGCTGTCCGATCTCAGGTCCAAGGCTACAACGACGTGTGTAGATACAACAGAGGGACCGGCGTTTTAGTTCCGGAAACAGCAAGACATCCAGAGGTACCGCGACAGAGTGGCGTGGCATGGAGGTCTCGGAGAAGAGAAACACTCTCTCTTGCGTGTTTCCGACGGAACCCCTTACGGTAGAGAGCCACATTCGCGCAGGGAGGAGAAATAAGAAGCACAAACCGAGGGCTTGGCGGGTACAAAAATTCAGGGGCATGATGGGGGCAAGCGCAACAACGATAAGTAATGCGCAACATTATCACGGGACTGTCAGAACATTTGAATGCTGCGCGTGTCGAAATCAGCTGACAACCCTCCCCCCCACCTCGAACAGGCGCTCAAGCCGGTAGGCGTGGCTGCTGTGGCCGTCTTGGCGCTCTACTCCCGCCAACCCCCTTCGACCATCATCCCCGGGGTGGTCGTGAAGGCGGGCGGGTCGGGCCTGGCATCGTGCGCCTTCTTGCCTAAGGTGCTCAGCAACGGGTGCACCCCTCTTCGGGCTGCCGTCACCGAGACGGGGTCCCTTGTGGTCTACAGGGGCAAGGAGGTATGAATGGTCGTTGTTGTTTTTCATTTGATGTTGTTGATATTGTCGTTGTTTTTGTTTGATGTTGTTGCTGTTGTGTGTTTGGTTTGTTTACGACAGCTCTGATGTGCTGGTATGCATATAGTTTTATTTGTTGAAGGGTGGAAGACACGGGAAGTTCGTGTCCGCAGGTTTTAACACGAGCAAGCTACGACTGGCGAAGGGAGACAGAACGCAAATAGCCACTCACCATATGACGGCCCTCCCTGATGCTTGCTACAGCACTACCAGTATGCGTAACCAGTTATATTTATTGAAGGTTGGGAAAAAAAAGTGGTCCCGGGTAGTAAAACGCATTAGCTACAACTGACAAAGGGCGACACAGCAAAAGGCCTCACCATATGACGGCCCTGATGTTTACTATGCACACAGTGTTGCTTGTTTTAACGGGTGGAAGACAAGAACGAGATCGTGGTCGCAGATATTTGTTCATCACGGATAAGGCACAGCGGAGGCACAGCAAACGGCCCCTTCACCATGCTTAAAACGGTGCTTGCTGCTGTCGTGTCCTTGTTGCTAACAGGTCCCCGTGTTGCCGGCCGCAAAGAAGAAGGTGGAGGGTGATGATGGTGCCGAGGTCCTTTGGTCCTCTCCCGCTCCCAAGAAATTGGCGGCAAGTTGATCAAACCTGTGGAAATTGTTTTTCGTAGTTTGTATGTGCGTCGCAAGATTTTTGTGCTGTGTCCTTCGAAGGAAACATTTGACAGATTGACAAGACATGGTCATCTATCATTGTAAGGGTCTTGCGCTACGCATGCCAATGTTTCGATGAGGTTACGATCTCAGTATTTTCGGGGGGGGGGGTTATCGTTTGCCTCGATAAGTAGACGTATATTAACAGTTAACGCTGGCCAAGAACTAAGTAGGCGAACGACGGCGGTGTTATAGCAGAGATGGTTGGCTCACCTCCACCCGGAATGAGTGAGGTGTCTCTGGTGATGGGGATGAGTTTTGGAAATGATTACTTGTGTTCCCCGCCCAATACACGGATGCAAAGTCGCTTCATACTGCACGAAGTTTCCAGACACCTGAACAGTAGCATCGAAGGGCGCTGATCATCAGCTGACCAATGAAAAATGCAACCAGTCTTACAGCAGCGTGTTGTTTTCCGTGAGCAGGCCGGGGATGAAGTCCAACTAGACCTGAGCGAGGACGGCATCCTGAGCGTGATGGCCGGCGACAAGAAGCTGTGGTCGAGCACCCTCACCGCGCTCGGGAAGCGTCTCCCGAACTTCAGGTACCTACCTACCTGCGTAACCCCCCGCCTCGACTTTTTTTAGCGCGTCGTGTGGCATACTTGGTGGAAGCACCACGGTTTTTGACGAGATTCTTGGCACCACCTGGTCAGAGTCGCGAGGTATGTCCAGCAAACGTCTACGACTTGATCAGCAAACAGGGCAGACGACAAGCAGGAAAAGTGCGAAAAAGTCGCCGCCTTCCTCGTCCAGAGAGACTGCTAGCCGACGCACTCCCGTCAAATACGTCTTTCCTACGCGGCGTTATAGAGGTCCGGCCGTCGCCGCACGGATGGAAGGGGCGAAAGTTGAATGCAGCGCGGGATGCCGGACCTTGTTAACACACGTTCATCACTCTTGTAGTGGACCTTGTTGCGCTCAACTGGTATATCACACGCGCTCATGACTCGTACCGCTGCAGCGCGCCCATTTAAGCACGCTGAATCGTGCTCGCGTTTGAAACGCAGGCGCTAGACACGGAGGTATTCTGAGCGCAATAGATTCCAGGTTGATGCCCTTGAGTTGAGAGGAGAGTTAATCAAGACCGGAGGAGCGTAGTCGGAAACGCCGAGCGATGGTACAAAGGATTTCCACACAAAGAAAATTAGGTCACGGCTTTTGGCAACCCAGGCTTTTGTGTGTTGTTCACTCATGATAGAGAGTGCAAGGCTTGTCTTTGTCTAACACACATTGGTCACATTGGACATGCGTCGACCAGAAGCGATGCCTTCACCGTCCTCCTCGTTGCTCTTGGGGGCCGCCTCAATCTTTCTTATTCGTTGTTTTGTGGCCCTCGCACCTCGCACCAACCGGACTCGTGCTATACGATCTACCCCCCCTCACAACATGCCTCCTTGCATTATGGAGACGCTTCACAGAAGTTGACACGCCCCAAGGTTAGTCTGTGATGCTTTTCCCCCTGTGGTGACGCGCCCCGCCTTCCCATGCATCTTTGACCCTGTCCCGCCCCCGCCTCCCCTATTGGGAAATTTTCCACCGCACAACGACTCGCCGACAGAGTGGAAGCAAGGCTTGACGCAGTAAAAGGTGCCCTAGAGGTCTACAAGGGCGGACAGCTGCAGTGGAGCTCGGCGGGGGGGAAATAGTTTTTTTTTGTCATGACTCAAGCCCTCATTTTGGAGTTGTGGAAGGGTAAAAGAGGCAGTTCTGCGCTGCTGCTGAGGAAGATAGATTGTCGACAATTCCCCCTTTACCTTCATAGCATCAGGCGGTTCGGTTGTTGTTGGAAGACTCCTGTTCGATTATCAGGAGACTGGCCGTTAAGATGCCGATTAATTTGCTTGGTCGCTTACCTCCGTGTAGCTGTGTTTTGGGAATTAAATTCTGCGGGTGGTGGTCCGGGCCGATCAGTCAGTGCCCCCATGGCGAAGATACGCTTCATTCGGCACCGGTAGAATTTTGTAGTGTTGTCCCCTGACCCGTTGATCGCAACCGGTTCCTAGTTGTAGGTGCAAACTTCATGCGTGTCAAATTATTCAAGTAACCCCACACACCACCATGATCTTGCATTCAGTATTGCGGGTTGGGGCTCAATTTTTCCATTGGGAGGAACAAGGGCGTTGGCTCGTTGGGGTTCGGAAATGGGCGTGCAATGGTGTCCTGTTTTTCTGTGGTTCTGTGTCTCGCTTTTTCATGTACTAGATGCTCTTGACTAGATGCTCCTGACGAGTCCCCCACGGACATTCCTTCCATCTGTGGGATCGATTTTCTCTTTATTGTCCGGCAGTGCGCGTGCTATTATTATATTTTTATAGCGTTCTTGACGTCTGGTACGTTGGTGGGTCGAGAGTGAAAGATGGAACTAACCCTTGTGATGGAAGATCGGTCTCATGCATGTTAAAGCTCTCCGGGTTTGCGTATGGTGTGGGAAGTTTTGTTCATGCACACATGCAATTGCGTACGGTATAAGCTGCACATGTTTTGGGTGATGGTGTGTCGCAGTTACGTGTAGGCGAGGTGTGCCAAGAAACTGCTGTTGCAGCATACTCAAAAACATGCTTGCTCGATTTTGCCGGACAAGACTTTTTTCGAGTTGTTTTTGTTTTCCTGTCGTAGGGAATATTTTGAAACCTCAGGCAGGCACTTGTAGCACGCAAATTGTGCGCGTGTTTATCTTGTACTACCGGGTATGCCGTTTGTCTATGATATTCCCACGCCTTTCCTTTCTGCATCAAGACAGCCAAGAGATGGTCTCAGGGGGGAGGGTGAGATTAGAAAAGTTTTGTGCTGTGTGACCCCGGATGGAAACGCGCGCGTTTCGTGTCGTCATGCTGGGAAATGAACTGCTCCGGGAACAACTCAAGAGCATGCGTGGGGCAATTATAAGAAATAACCTCCCTCACTGAACACACACATGCTCCTGGTTACAAAGCCACCAACGGCATGTGATTGCCTTTTGGTCGTGACGTGAGAGTTTTCATTCTGCAGAATGGAGAGGTGAACCACAGATCCCGTAGATCGGGTCGTGCCGAGGAATTAACATTTTCAGCGTTGGCAAGGGGCGCGGTAGCGGATGTGGTGGATGCTCTCGCACGCACAAATTTGTTGTTTTGTGCCAGCTGCATCATTTTGCATTAGTAAAGCCGAGCGGTTTCGCTTCATGTGCGATGCTTGGTAACAGCAATAGAGAGATGATGATGGACCCCCTTAGTCTACACTTTCTCACGAGGGGTGGGAATGTCAGCAGAAGGAAGGTAAAAGTGGCGCTGGTTCCATCATTCTCAAGCCCCCGTCAGGGGGGGTTGAGTTTCCGTCCCGGCTATGTAAAAATCCGGGACAAATCTTCCGTCCCAGATCTACGAAGCAACCTCCCATCTCCGAAAACTCTGAAATCAAAGATTCCGCTCGCTCTCTAGCGCCAAGTTCGCGCACCGTCTCACATCTGGGGTGGGTATAAGGCCAGACCTTCCAAAAAAAATGTTGGGAGGGCGTCCCACCGTGGCGTAGCTGATACCCTGGTCGTTTGCTGCTTCGGGAATGTTTTTTTCGATATAAGAGGGCTGGTTGGTGGAAGTGCTCAGTTCTAACCATCTGGTGAATATCTATCTACCCAAGGGTACTCGTTCGCCGCCCGATGTAGGATAACCCAGCTTCTTTCGAAAGAGGCGTCCCGATGCAAGTAGTGATGGATGATGGATGGACGTGTACCGGTGATGCACGCGTGCGAATGTGGGAGTCAACGACGGAAGGTGGCCTCTACTGCAGCGCTCATGATCATCTGACACCTTGCGCGATTTGTTGCAAACTGGCACGTATTGCGCCACGTTTCCCTCCGGGAGAAAAACGACGGATTCCCCGCCCGACTGCCCATCCTTCGCGACCATCTGTCGCGTTTGTTTACCCAGCCCCTACTCCCAGATGCTCGTTTTTCCTAGCGGCATATACACTGCACCCAACGCGCGTTCCAAGTCTCCGAAGAGTGCGGGGTCCCCTTGTCCGTTCACTTTCCCCCCTGTCCGTCTAGGAGCCAGCCAAGCAATGTGGCCGTCTGGACGGAGTAAAACCGCTTCGGTCCTCGCGGCAGCCAATGCATCGGCGAGTTTTCCACAACTGCCGTCGACCGCGCGCATGGGTAGCACCCACCCCGGTTGCGTCGGGACGCTATCGTTGCAGTAGTCCAAGTACTCTCTCAGATTCTCGATAGATGGGGCTGGCGAGGGAATGGCGGTGTTGTGATGGCCGTTGCTGATGCTGCTACTGACGGTCGATCTAGGAGAAGGTGGTGAAACCGTCAAGACGACGAGAGGGCTCGAACGGGAAGTGCGGCTGTGCCACGATGTATCGGTCCCGACCATCGCCATTCCGTCGCGCTCTGACGAATACACGATCAGCACGGAGGCTAGGGATGCTAGCTCGGGCGTCGCGGACGAGAGTTCTGAAGCGAAGCAATCGAGCAGCAGTCCTCGAATCTGGTCCGGAAGGTCCACGGTGGAGAGCAAGGAAGAAGAAGAAGAGGAAGGTGGCCTCAAGAAAAAGTGGGGCATTCGTCCTCCGAGCCGTATGCTGCACGGTGCCGAACGAAATGCACCGGCGCTGTCACCGTGTCCTTGACCGTTGCGCCGGACTGGTGATGGCGATGAAAATCCCGTCGTTGGCAACGGCCTCGACGACCGTGACGTTGGCGGGGATCCTACCCCTGCCGCCCTGCCACCACTAGCCGCGAGCAGCGCCGCGCCGTGGCCACCGTACGCAAAACCCACGTCGTGTTCGGGGAAGAGGAGGGGAAGCCCCCCGCCCTCAGCCAGCAGTCGGCGCAAGTCTCGGACGCGCGATTCGCCGTACGGGTGGCCCTCTTCCCGCAGGCTCTCCAGCTGACGGCGGCCGAGGCGGAGGATCCTCTCGGACCGTTCCTCTGAACTGTCCGCGACACTGGTCTTCCCCAGAAGAGAAGCCGCCATGTCCCTGATGCCACCACCCCAGTTCAGGGTCAAAGGCGAGCGCACGAGCTGGGAAAGGTATTCGGAGGGGGTGGGGCGGGGGCACCAAGTACTGAGGAGTGCCGAAAGAATGTTGCTGCTTTGATTTGGGCACGCTTGCTCTGCGGGTAACCTTACACCAACCGACGATTTGCGAATACCTAATGCTGTACAGCTGGCGGCTGTACAGCTGGCGCCCCCAACATAAGATTGATCAGGCCGACGGCTACATGGAGCTTGAAGGTCATGGTACAGCAAGCACGTGCACCAGGGGGTCGTTGAAGTGAACATGTGCGATGGTAAACGTTTTTTCTTGAGCACGTGTGTCAATCTTTATCTTCTTAGGGCCAAACTTTAAAACGTCATGATCATGAAAACGAGTAACGCTACCAGGTAACCCCAACTCACCTGATCCATGAGGGTGGGCGAGGCTCCAAGGCTGGGATCTACGCCCAGTGTTTCCAACACCCTCAGGCTTCTCTTCAGGTTCCGCACGCTCAATGCCGCGTTGCGCATTGCCACTGGCCGCCGTTCTGTGTCCGAGGGCATGGTAGGCGAGGAGACGTGCGAATGTCACAACACGATAAAAGGCGGAGGATTCGCCTATAAAAATGTCGACACATGACGGGGCTGTTGTCCGTGGGGGTTCCGCTGAGGTACATGTCAAACTAGTAGGACCCGGGCTGATAAATAAGGGCCTGGTGATATTTGGCCTAGACGAACGTTGCACGGAAGGGGGCCGAGGGGGTTGCCCATATACCCGTCTCGCGTCGGTGCTACACCTACTTTATCTGAACTTGGAGCTGGGCGAGCGAGTTCAGCCCACCATGTAGGAAGGCTCTGTCTGACGCACCGCGGTGCCGTCGGGCCCACGCCCCATACACGGGGGGGTAGATGAGGGAATTACATTCTTTCAAACCCATCGTCACACACGTCACGGTATGGGCTCAGTCGTGACGTTTGTCTCCCAACGACACACACAAACCTTGTTCATAGGTCAGCAAAAGGTCAGGAGAGGCTAGGCCATGATGTACGGCAGCCAGCTTCCAGGCCAGGTTATGGGCATCCTGCGCATCCACGACAAGCAGTAAGCGAGGCGGGGGCGGGGGCGTCTTTCAGGATTGCGCAACACTTCGAGGGTTAGTATGGGTTGGATTCAGCTCGAAACTTGGGTATTCTGTGAAGAACGCTTGAAGAGAAATCACTTGCAGCTAGAGAACTAGAATTAGTCTCAAACTTATGCCTCATTCTGAAGGGGATGAGCTCAAGGTTCTGCGGCCAGGTAGAGACTGACATCCCAAACCTAGAATCTCTCTCCGAGTATCTAGACATATCCGTCGTTGCTCAGGCGGAGAAATGACATCACGGCATCACCGTAGTGGTGTGCTCCTGCCGGGAGCGACTTCTTGCGTGTCATCCCCCCGAATATGCCGTCGGAGTTTCACGGGACAAACCCACAGCTACATCTCCATGCCGATAAATTGTGACGTCAATGCTCCACAAGTCGTTCCAGGTGCGGAAGAATATGGATTTCCGTGGCAAAAAGTCATCGAACGGTTATCCAGGAACAGGGTGGGTGGCAGGCCCGGCAAGGCCAAAAGTGTCAGGCAAAATGGCTTCCCTTGCTTGCTTCTAGCACGGAGTACGACACATGCAAACCAAGATGCCGGTCAAGTATTCTCAGAGATTTGACTGCACAATGTGACGAAGATATGTGCCAAAAGGGCGTGAAGCGACATTACATACACGCTGGGAATCACAGCAGGAACAGCCCGCCACCCCCAACACGCGCGCCTACCTGAACACCGGTGTTGAGGCCGAATCCACCAGCGGGAGGGAACTGGTGCGCCGCATCCCCCGCAAGAAACACGCCCCCGGATTCAACCCCCGCGCCCTGTTCTACGGCGGCACCTGCCTCTTCCGCCGAAAACCTCCCCGTAAAATAGCGGTCCGCAACGAGAGCGTTCATCGTCCAGGGACGTACGGAGCAGATTTCAATGTCCAAGAGACCGCCTCCGGGCCCTAGGGCCTCCCGGATGATGGAGAGTGATCGCTCGCGAGTGAAGAACTGCGGTTGAACGAGGGGAAAGGCGGCGTAGACCAGACCCGCGTACAGGGAAATATTGTTGGAGGTAGGGGGGGTCAGCGTCGCTGTCTTCGGTGTCTTCTAGGTTGGTGGGTTCTCGATTTGGCTGGGGGTGGCAGAAAGGAACTCAACCACAGAAGTGGCATTATTTTACGGTTCAAGTGAAAAGAGCGGAAATTCAGGGTTGAGGTTACCGATCGTCCAAGTGAACAAAAACACTCAAGACAAACACGTGCAAGCAAAAAGAGCACCTGCACCACCGGGAAAACCAACGTCTAAAACACAGCCAGTAGTAACAGCAGCAGCAACAAGAACAACAACGTTGACTTTCCAGCGAAAGCAGCAAACGAAATCACGCCGTATGGTCAGACTATTGCCGAACTTGCTCACCTCGGCGGTCTGGTGCGGCGGGAAGAAAGGCACCTGGCAGGCCCACTCACCCTTTCGTACGTTATGCGCCACAAGCACGCAGATCGTCTCCTGAAACAAGCGCGCAAGGAACACACACAGCGCAGAACAAAGGTAAGCGAAAATACTGCTGTAACAAGAAAATATGGCCGCCGAAACCAACGAAAAAAGAACGAGTGTCGGATAGTCGACCGATGGCGGCTAGGTCGATGAGGGGCGCACAAAAGAAACGGTTGCTCGAAAGCGGTCAAGTTGCGTGTTATTTACGTCCGAAGAACTTGCGGAGTGTGGAACGGACGAGCGCGCAACGAGCTTTTTCCGCTGTTGCTGCCTGGTGGTTGAAACCCCGACGTGTGCTCCGTCCCTCAGGTTTGCATCACCTGCGGCCACCCGAGATTCATCTACCTGCCTGCCTGCCTTCATCACAAGAAACGCCAAGCTCACCCACCATCCTGGCCAACATACACCCCCAGATTAACGATTCGCATCCCCAAGGTGAAGTAGCAGGTGAGAACCCCTCTGCTCGAACCCCTCACGACAGCACGAAAAACGGCAATTCAGGTGGCCGCTGCTCCGACGAGCGGCTAACCCCTCCCCCTTCGCTCCC